AATTTCTGCAACCACAGTTGGAAGAACTTGGCATGGAAAACTTCTGGTTCCAACAGGATGGCGCTACATGCCACACAGCGCGTGAAACGTTCGCTCTTTTCAGAGATATTTTCCCTGCCAGGCTGCACTCAAAAAATATTGAGTGGCCGCCTCATTCCCCTGATTTGACTGCACCAGATTTTTTCTTGTGAGGATACTTGAAAAATAAAGTCGATATTAATTGCCCACAAACGTTAGAAGACTTGAAGGCAAATATTCGTGAAGAAATCGCGCAAATTCCAACTGAAATATTGCTCAAAGTTATACTACACGCTCAAAGTAGAGTTGGTCATTGTGTGGCATGCCGTGGCGGTTATTTACTCGATGTTGTTTTCCATAAATAATTTTACATGTTTTAATAGTTTTCATAAAAAAAAATTTTTTTGCGCTGATTTTTTTTTTATTTTAAAAAAACTTGGCTGAGTATATATTGCCGCACTCTATACTCTGGCCCTCGGCAATGTGGCCAGAGTTAATCAATAACAACACAACACGCAGATAGAAAGTGTTTTAAATGAATTAAAACATATTTCATTTAAATAAATCTTGTTTCATAAATACGCTAGATATGGATATTTCATATTTTCATGAAAGGACAGGACTAAAAAGAATTTGTTATGGGAACATCAACAACTTATTTATTAACCTTTTTGCATAATTTGGGTATGGGAAAACAATTTTAGTTTAAGTGTTAAGGTGTGGGGAACTAACAATGCCATAAATCTATCATCAGTATTTCGTATGCTAGACCTCTCACTTTAATTACTTCAGTCTGGCTCTGATGATCGATCACCAGGGTCAGGAAACTAGTCCGGAATCCAGGACTGGTAGCTACTACTGCCTCATATGGTTGACAGAATGACATACGTAGACAAATAAAAGAAAAACTATAAAAAGAATATTGAAACACATATCGCTTGATACAATGTATTATTCAGAATGACTGAAGTCTGTCATCGCATTAGCATACATGGTCACAATTAATAATCATTCTGCATTCGTATGGCTCTTAAATTAGAGCGGTTTGATCAGTTCATATGTTTGTACAAGAAAAATGAATGTTTCACATCTACCGAGGTTAATGGTGCAAATTCTAAATAGTTCACATGGGTAGGCACTGACAAATCGTGCAGATAATTCTCATGAATTTTACACATTTTTGTATCCCAGATTCCTTTGTAAAACATTTTTTACTTAATTGTTTATAGCCCGAATTTTGCTGTCTGTTAGAAACAAAGCCTTTTGAACACTCAAAATTCTTAATAACCATATTACACCTTATTACACCGAAAGTCAGTTGTTTCATCCACTGTCATCCACAAAAATGTATTTCCTACGTCCCATATATCCCCACAACATTTTTATAAATATTTAGTTATGTTTTACTCAATGTATGGCTACTAGGTAAAGAAAAAAAAGTATTTGGTAATGAAACCTGTAAACCTCTAACTATACCGGCAATATTTTGTCGATGGATAGCCGAATTTAAATGTCGCGCCAATATCCTATTGGCTTGATGGTTTGGTCTCGGATGCTAGGGCCAGGCAGGACTATTACCTTTTTATCCTAGTCATCGCTGTAGACCTGGACCGGCCTCGTGCAGGGCGGACTAGCTTACTTTACAAACGGCCCCACTCACAAATGTGAGCGGTGCCGAGGATTTCGGCCAACCTTCCTGGGTCCTAGCTGATAAACCCTGCTGGCTAGGGCCTCTTCTGGCGCTCTTCTGTCTTCGTCTTCTTTCTTCGCCAGCTTGTCACACCCGGGGGTAGTCATCTGTCTGTCAGGGACTGTGCGGATATTTTGTGACTTGGGATTGACTGCCAGTACACAAAGTGTCAATTGACACATTGTCGTCTGGATCATCGGACAAGGTGAGGATGAGCTCTGTAGCTCTAGGAGGTGAAGGCCTAAGTTCTTTCTTAGCACTTTCGTCCTTCACGGAGCCAGGGGGACAACGGACTCTGGTCGGCTTACTGACCGGCGTCCGCAAGGTTTGTGGGAAGGTGGTTGGTGCGCTCACCGCCGTCCTGATGACCACGTTTTCCACGGCTTGGATCTTCTTCAGATAGGTCTTCGCTTGGTATTCGCATGCTACGGAGGCGTAGGTCAGCTGTGGTCTGATGAGGGCTCTGACTAGCAGAAACTTGTTCCTCAGACTGAGCCTGCTCTGGTTCCCTACCATTGGGTAGATGAGAGCTCTCGTCCGCTTGGCCTTTACCACGATGGCTTCGGTGTTCTGTCTCCATGTCAGGCCTTTGTCCATGATTACGCCAAGGTATTTGACGGAATCGTGCCATTGGATGTCTTCACCAAACATGGAAATGTGGGGGTATTTAAATGTCTTTTACATCGCGGCGTGTATGAAATACGTACCGTCGATTGCGAATATGCGAACCATTTGTTGTAAAATCATACTCTTCATTCAGTTTTTGTAGTTTAATCACAAACGGTAGTAACTGCGCCATTGCTAAGAGCGTTTTATGCAAGAACCAAACCAAACACCACCACGAAAGTAACCGTACACTTTCACGTTTCTGGGTTAACTGGGCATAAAGTGCCAAGGGGCATGTAAAATTGCATTGAAGTATCCCAGTTACTCGCAGAGTCGTGCACTTTTCTGTCTTGATACTGGTTATACAGATCGCACGACGCGTATACAACCAGGTCGCCCTAATTAAAAAATAATGTTGTATATCAAATTCCGTGTGGTAAACAATATATTGGCCAAACTAAACAATGGTTAAGTTCGAGAATAGAAAACCATAAATACGATATTAAAAACAAAAAAACGTCAACAGCTTTATCTAACCATGTAATAGCACAAAACTATAAATTTAACTTTAAAGAAACAAAAATATTAGATACTGAACACAATTTAGACAAGAGACTTTTACTAGAAATGATGTATATAAATTGTAACAAAAATTGTGTTAATGTAAGAACAGATGTAGATAATTTAAGTACAATTTATAAATCATTGTTAAATAAATTTAATTTTTAAATAAAGTTAGAAATTTGACGTACTCATCCTTTTCTAATTTGTATGATAATGGCATTAATTAATAGAGGAAGAAGAATACAACCTCAACCTAACTATGCTCTAATATAAAGTATGAGTTAGGATAAAAATGAATGCCACAAAATTATCAAAAAGAAGAAGAATTTAACCTGTCAGAATAGTAATGTTCACATACATAAAGCCAAATTTGTAGTAATTATTGCATTGTTATTTTTTAATATTGTATGTGTAAATTATTGTTGTTTTGACTTTTAATGTGTATGTTTGTTATTTATTTATGACTAATCCAATTAAAATTGGAAATAATAGGTTTTATTATTAGATTGGTAAGTGTTTTTTAGTATATTGTAAATCCGTTGATCACTATTAATAAATTACAGATTCGGAGGAGGGCAGGTTATACTGCAAAAACTGGTCAATCTAAATACAGAATAGTAGTTTTATTTGTCCTACTACCCACTAATAGTTTCATAAAATTTATTTTTACATTTTTTGTCTATATATGTAATGTAAAGAGTAAACTTCTTGATACAAAAATTAAATAATTTCACATGCATTTTAGATAAATGACTAATTAAATTGAAATACAAATGGTACCACCGACCTGTTAAAAATTAATCTGAAAGTAGAACGTAAACAATTATGGATTGTTATGTAAATGTATGAAGCATTTTATGTGTACGTGATAGCTTATTTTAGATTATTTCTTTAATGAATGAATGGAATACACGAGGGATATACTTTAGATGTTACGTCAGGCACACAAGATATCCGTTTCTCTTTGTATAATACAACTTGCAGGAAACGAAACCAGACCTTCCGGTGCTCCTGAACTTGAAACGCATCTCTTGACTTGCTCATATTTATTTTATTGGAATATACATAATATAATAAATAATAATAATAATAACACGGTTAACACGTCTTTATTATATGAAAAATTGTACAATATTTGTTACAAAGTGCGAATTTACCCAACTTAACCGTACAAAAATTAAAATACGATATAAAACTACAATAATACAGACTAAAAGTCAGAAAAACGTAAAGTATTGTACGAAGGCTCTGAAGGACCACAGCAAATAAAAAAAAAACTAGAAATTTCTATTTTAAAAATACAAATTTCTACTTTAAAACTAGAAATTTCTACTTTTGAAAAAAAGAAATTTTTTAGTTTTAAAGTAGAATTTCTAGTTTTTAATTTTTGACCTTAAGAGGCACGACGCCCAAAACTGGTTTATTACCAATACCGCTTTATCAGTGGCTTCTAGGTAAAAAATGGCCTGTATAAAACTTTTTAAGAACATAGAAGTTTTGTCTGAAACATTTTTTTGCAAGTCAAATAGGCACCAATGTAGTTTCAAAGTGGAACGGATCAATGAAAATTCCAACGCTCATTTTTAAGCTAAATTTGGATTTTTATCATGTCCTTAAAAAGTTTTATACCAACGGCCGTGTCTCAAATACCTGTATACAAAATTTGAGTTGATATTTTTGTTATAATACGTCCCAAATTAAAAAGAAATTAAATCTGTTCAAAAATAAGGTGTTGCGGACTTAAATCGCACACGCTGTATATGTAAACAAGGAAGTTTCTTATAAACATAGGTCGGCAAAGGATTTGTTTTTGGAATTCACGGTGTTGAAATTAATTTTTAAAACGGTCTTTTCTTAATATCATAGCAACTTCAACAGATAATTTGGTATGAACTATGACGGTATAAATTACAATAAGAATAAAGTGTGCGTGCGTGCGTGGGTGCGTGTGTGTGTGTGTCATTCTATCCATTAGTGGCGTACAGGGGATAATTCACCTCCTATTTTTAAAATTTTGTGTACAGGTATTTGAAACATGGTCGCTGGTATAAAACTTTTTAAGGACATAATTTCCTAAAAATCCAAATTTACCTTACAAATGAGCGTTCTTGTAATTATATGTGGCTTCGTGGCCGAATGGTAAGAACACTTAGCTTTTACCCTGGAGTCCCGGGTTCGATCCCCAGTCGAGGAGCTAGGATTTTTTATATACCAGACTTTAATCCTAGCATACTCGGATATTGGGTGTGTGTCCATTGTCTCTAAATGTGTAGCCCTCTACCACACAAGGCTCTTCAATATATAAGGATCATAAAGTTAGCCTAAAGTATAATGTACATACAAGTAGTTTTATCCTATTTAAAAATTTAACCAATTCGTAGTAAATATTAAAATGAACGTCCTACATTCAAAGATGTAATATTCGCGTATGCAAAATATTGTTGAAAGTCAGTAGCACTTCCATCATTTAGGTACTCTTTAAGTCTTGTTTCACCTGTACATTGTCTGACTTTCCTTTATAGTGTTAAGGTCTTGGAGTTGAATGTGGATATTACAGATTTAACATGTTCGAAATATTTATTATAATAAAACGCCACTTGCAATCATGTTTCCTATTATTGTTTTCCAACTTTATAGTGCCCAGCAAATTAGAGTTCGACATTGCCCGTCTCGCTAATTCTTGCATCAGAAGTTCCATCCACAGTTAGCCATATTTCTTTATCACGTACTTCATTCTCGTCGTATTTTATCATGGAGAAGTTGCGATCTTACTTGTTGTCTCGAATGTCTCGTAGGTAATTATATTTTTTTCAGAATGAACGAAATGTTCTTTCTCTAATACCCATTGTAGAATACCACACGCACTCAACATGAAAATTAAGTTGAAAATAAACATCCAGTGGATATTTTAGTTTACTATTTTGTATTTACAATTGCGATATGCTGCCTACAGTCATGTGCACTCCACCCATTCAAATAGTGCTGGCAAACACAGTATATTATCCAGTCACTGTTCTGGTATGCCTATTTTAAATCAGAAAATTCAAATATAAATTTACTTATAAGCCACGAAAAAGGTAAAGTTATCTTATTCTTCAGTAAACACACTGAATGCTGGGAGAATGTGAACTGATGTAATGTGTTTGCGCATTTGTGCGAGTTTGCGCAAACGAGGCTCCCGCGGTCGCTACACCTGAGTTTCGCAAATTCATCCGTCTTTAGTTAGCTTTAATTTGATGCAGTCTCGGTTCTTATTTTTGAGGTATCTTGAATTGTTTTGATGTTAGATGAAAGATGTCTAGAAACGTACTACAATATCCCAGTTATCAAAATGTAATTTAAAGAATGCTACAAATAAAATATCTATAAATGCATATCAACAATATAAATTTAGATGACAAATATTAAACACCTTAATATCATCAGATTTACATAAACATAATTGGAATATACATTTATTTGCGAATAATCTCCTCAAAAAAAAACTTTAATAAGGAAGCCGCGACTACGTAAATCATGCACATATCAAATAAAAATGTATCGTAGTATAAAATCTTAAATCAAATCCCACGCCCGGTCACAGTTACATTTGATCTACTATGAGAAAGCAAACTTGAAACCTGTAGTTTCATGTTGTCGCAAGAAGTGGACTATAAAAATATAATAAAATTGTTTTATTATCTTGGCGTTTATGTGCTTTAAATCAATTAGGTACTGGTCGTTGAATGGGAAAAATAAATTAAACCAACTGAGTAAATTACACGTTTATAGTTGTACACGAAAAAAGAAAACTGGTGCAGAATGACACGCGTCTGGCTATGATCTGCTAGCCAGACAGTCTGTTGTTACATAATGCGTATAGTGCAACTGTTTAGCATAACAGGTAGTTGATGATAGTGGGCGTTTGGCGACAATTTTGAATGAAATAGATATGCCGGAGCAACACCGTGACAAGATTCTTCCATTCTTTGACCCACAGCAAGCATTTGCACCTGTGCATCAAGAAGGCCGTCGACCGCTGACCACAGATTATCATACGCAACCCGTCTTTCCAGTTTCTAATTCGATATCCAGTCAACCGCAGGCTACAGGCGGGGATGTTCTGCTTCTTCGGCAGCAGAATCCCTCCGGGAAACGGCTTGTTCCACTGTGGGGGGAGTTATATTACATTACACATAATCTAAATGGAAATAGTCTGTTTGTTTTTAATTTATAATCTCAAACTATCAATTCTGATATGTAAATATTTCTATTAAAGAGGACATAATTATCGCGAAATTTATTTTCAAAATACCAAATTGTGCAGAAACCTCGTTTTAATTGTTTGTCTTAACATTGTTCATAATTTTGCAAATTAATGTTCATGTCAAATGCAATATTTTCATCTGCGAGTACATCTCGTCGCATGAGAAGTAAATGGCCTAAATAACAATCTGTTATTTTTACAGCAGAACGAATTTTAGGTTACAATCTCTAGAAAAGTCATTTGGATTCCATTTTTTAGGTGGAACATATGGAACGAAATAGTCTAGTATTTGCTTATGATACATGTAGAATGGTTTAAATTTACCTAAAATTATAGGAACTAAACTGAGTCAGTTTAGTTTTAATCATCTCCAGATGATACCAACTTGGTTGGCTAAACGCACGTCGAGTATATAATGTCTTATGTTTTATGGAAAACTACGTCGGTGTTATCTTGACATTAAAGGTTCCCACCCACTTCAAAATGTCTGTGTAAAGTATACTTTAGCATACCAAATGCCAATATAGTATAAATTTTAGTAATTTTTATTCATTAAACGGTCGGTTGAAAACGTACAAATAACTATTCTTCAATTTGTAATTTCAAATTGTATTAAAGAACATCGCGCATTGTGGCAAATAGTTTAATAAGTTTATATGCGATGTAAGACTTAGTGATGGATTCATCAAGTTTTTTATTCCCTTAGAAGCTTATACGTGCAGTACCAGGGTTTTAAGTCTGTTGAAATGACAGCAACCTCAGGAGTTCCGCAAGGATCCGTTCTAGAGCCTCTTTTGTTCATTATTTTCATTAATGACATCGTCTGTGAACTTAGCTCTATTATATGCAGATGATCTAAAACTATATTTGTCGATTTCCAACTTTGAGGAGATTTAAATAAATTGAATTTTTGGTGCGAAAGAAATTTATTATCTCTCAATATTAGTAAGCCACATATTCAATTAACTAGGCTAATGTAACTAGATGTTATAAATTTAAAGATTTGGGAGTAATCGTTGACTGCAGATTAACTTTTACTGACCATACCAATGATATGGTAGCGAGTGCTTATAGAAATCTTGGTTTTATAATAAGAAACAGCAAGCAGCTTGTGGAAACTGCTATACTTAAGTTACTAGTTAATGCTCTCGTTAGATATAAATTGGAATATGCTTGACTAGTCTGGAATCCGGGATACAACGTTCATAAATTTCATATTAAGGAAATACAAAGGAAATTTTTAAAATTTCTATGGTATAAGTCGGATGGTGTTTATCCCCTCAATGCATTTTCAACAATATGTTATTACAAAGATTTCACATGAATGACTTGAATACTCGACTGAAATATTATTCAATAGTGACCTTATATAACATTTTAAATAACCAAATTGACCGTCCAGAATTACTTAGTTGTGTCTCCTTCCATGTTCTAGTTTTTCAAACTCGTTCTAGTAGTTTATTTGCCAGTTCCCAGAACAAATCTGTTAAAATTTTTACCTTTATACAGCATGTGTTCAAACCATACGTCGGTTCAAGAAAACATTGATATTTTTAATTGTAATATTGGGTTATAAAAAAATATGTTCTTTCTGTGGACTGTTAATATTTAAATTATTTTGTTAAGTTAACTAGTATCGATTATGTTTTGTAATTTCCTGCCCTGTAAATGAAATCGTCTGTTGGGTAGTTGTAACTATAAATAAATAAATAAATTAATTAATATGGAAATGAAATTTATGGCGCCATCGTTCATTCAGTACTGAAATTTCCTAGCAAGAAAGATGGAAAGATGCAGAAAAATATTTACAGCAGATTGTAATAAAATCTCTATTTAGAGCAAAATGTCGCTTAGAACCTTATTGTCTTCATACGATGAAATGCAAATATTTAAAATTATCCTAAGGAAATCGGTATAGTTTTCTGTTCTAAAACATTTTATAGTAGATAAAGTGTATACAGATGATTTGTAGTTTTGACATGGCTGGATAGCGCACATTAAAAAGCCAACTAAATTTAATAGCTTTTTTGTATGACAACTGGTTTCACGGGATTTTAGATAATACGGCAAAAATTAAAATAGGTATGTAGTGACAGGCAATCTTAAAGAAGTGAAAACTGCAACTTTTTGTGTTCATAATTACTTCTAAAAAACTAGAAATACATTTACGAAATTGTTTAGGTACCATAAATATATTGATACAAATTGGTTACATACCAAACTAATATAGCTTTTTATTAAGTCTTCATGGTTAAAAGATACAGACACTAATACTGATAATATTTTGAGCGGCATTCGTTATATTAAGGATTTCTTAATTTAAGTATCTTTTATAGTTACATTTTTTGGGGCCATAACTCAGAAATTTGTATAAATCATTGGAAGACATATCAAATGGAACTTTTTGAAATTGAGCAGGACTCAGGGATTTCCAATTGTAAAATTCTATTTTTACAATTTTTTCAAAAACTAAACCCAAATTAGGTACACCTCAAAAGGATATAAAGTTAAGTTTAAATGAAGTTGGAGAGATATTTCGGGAAAAAACTTTTTCTTAGGAATATGATTTTTACATGGTTGGAAATTTGCACTATTTTTGGTATTCGCGGAATAACATTTTGCAAGTAACATATCAAAACATGTAACAAAGAGCTATAACAGACAGGACTGGACTTGAGGATTTGATCGCCGCTCAATTTAACGTAAATAAAATTTAAAAGAAAAATAATCCACGCTACCACTCGCTGGTGTATATTTTATTCATTAGAGTCAATTTTTTATACATTGTGCTTATAATTGTCATTACTAGACATAGGGAATTTAGATGTCATGACGTAAATAGCAGGGCCAAATTGCAAAACAGGAGTAGACAGTACAGTAAACAGTATTTTACCTTTACATAACAGCTCCTCCTTGTTTCAGCGCCTTTGTTTGTCACCGCCAATCAGCAT